ACCCCCAGCGGCAGCACCAGCACCACCAGCACCTCCAGCTCCAGTACCTCCAGCAGCACCAGTAGCACCCCCAGCAGGACCGCCTCCAGGACCGACAGCAGTAGCCTCCGCGCCAACACCCGCAGCAGCTCCAACTCCAGAAGTACCCGCAGGCCCAGCAGCTCCAGTACTCCCAATACGAGCACCTCCGGGACCCGCGGCACCAGCACCCTCAGCAGCAGCAGAACCTCCAGTACCCGCAGCACCTCCAGCTCCAGCAGCTCGCCTCCAGCGCCGGGCAAACCACTCATGCAGCTCCTGTGGAGAGAGTGGCTCCCGGCGAGACGAGGCACCCGGAAAACCGCCAGGCACAGCACCGCCAGACGCCACACGAGCAGGCCCAGCTCCCTCAGGCTCAGCACCTCCAGGCTCAGCACCTCCACGCGTAGCACCCCCAGGCTCAGCACCCCCAGGCTCAGCACTCCCAGGCTCAGCACCCCCAGGCTCAGCACCCCCAGGCTCAGCACTCCCAGGCTCAGCACCCCCAGGCTCAGCACTCCCAGGCTCAGCACCCCCAGGCTCAGCACCCCCAGGCTCAGCACCCCCAGGCTCAGCACCCCCAGGCGTAGCACCCACACGCTCAGCACCCCCAGAGTCAGCACCCCCAGGCTCAGCACCCTCAGCAGCACAAGAGTCACCAGCTACCTCGACAGGCTCTACAGCGTCTACCTGGGACACACCTGAAGGGGCAGGACCCTGAGGGGGGAGGGGGTCTACCAGAGGGGGACCGGGCACAAGGAAGAGCGGTGGCGGGGGGAGGGACGGAGTGCGGTAGGGGAAGAGACGGTAGTAGGGGACCGACTCGTCGAACGTGACGTCCTGGGAGGACAGAACACGGCGAGAGGTGGGGTGGTAGAGCTGCCACCCTGGCGCGTCAGGGGGGAAACCCAGGAAGACGCAGGGAGCAGCACGAGGGGACAGCTTGTCCGCAGACAAGTCGCGGACAAACGCCCGAGATCTCCAGACACGGAACACAGACGCATCGCCAACCTTCCCCGTCCACCGCAAGGTGGGGGAGGTCTTCGGCATGGAGACCCTGGGCTGAAGGTTGATCTGATGCGCCGCGTACCTGACCGCAAACGGGCACAGAAAATGGGGGGCAGCCGCATGTATCATGGACGTACGGGCGACGTCCATGACCATGCCAATGCGGCGCTCAGCAATCCCATTTTGCTGTGGAGAGTCCGGAAGCGTGAAGGTCTGGCGGATGCCTCGTGCACGACAGTAGGCTCGCAGAAGGCCAGAGGAGAACTCTCCTCCTCTGTCAGAGTGCAGTAGGCAGGCAAGCAGGCGGCGGGCAGCACGCTAGCAGGGCAGGGGCTCACCAGTGGTGGGAAGAGCAGGCTCGGCAACTCGGCGACTCGGCGGTGCGGGCGGCTCGGGCGGCTCGGCGGCACGGCGGCTCGGCAGCAACTGCGGCTCGGCGGCTCGGGCGACTCGGGCGGCTCGGCGGCAACTGCGGCTCGGCGACTCGGCGGCTCGGGCTGCTCGGCGGTACGGCGGCTCGGCAGCAACTGCAGCTCGGCGGCTCTGCGACCCGGCGGCTCGAGCGGCTCAGGTGGCGCTGCGGCTCGGGCGGCTCGGGTGGCTCGGGCGGCTCGGTAACAGCTCGGCGGCGCCGGCGGCTCGGTGGTGACGGCGGAGCCGCTTGGGGACGGCGGCGGGGCCGGGTGGAGCGGCGACGGGGCCAGCAGAGGTGGCGCCGGGGCCGCAGGGTAGGTGACGGGGCCAGCAGAGGCGGCGCCGGGGCCGGCAAGGGCGGCGCCGGGGCCGTAGAGGTAGGCGACGGGGCCAGTAGAGGCGGCGCCGGGGCCGGTAAGGGCGGCGTCGGGGCCAGCAGAGGTGGCGTCGGGGCCGGGAAGGGCAGCGCCGGGGCCGCAGGGGTAGGCGACGGGGCCAGCAGAGGCGGGGCCGGGTCGGGAAGGGCGGCGTCGGGGTCGCCGGGGTAGGCGACGGGGCCAGCCGAGGTGGCGCCGGGGCTAGGAAGGGCAGAGGCGGGGCCGCAGGGGCAGGCGACGGGGCCAGCAGAGGCGGGGTCGGGTCGGGAAGGGCGGCGTCGGGGTCGGCGGGGTAGGCGACGGGGCCAGCCGAGGTGGCGCCGGGGCCAGGAAGGGCGGAGCCGGGGCCGGGATGGGCGGCGCCGGGGCCGCAGGGGTAGGTGACGGGGCCGCTAGGGCGGCGGATCGGGGCCGCGAGGGGTCGCGAGGGCAGCGCGACGAGATGGGGCCGCGACGGGGCAGCAAGGGGTCGCGCGCGGCTCCCTTGGGCGCCGCGACGGGGTAGCGGGGAGTGGCGCGCCTAGAAGGAACGGGGCCGCGCGCCTCGGGGCGCGCGCTAAAGAGAAAATCGCCGTGCGCAATAGGTCGCACGCCACAGGGCGTGCGACAGATTGAGTAGCAGCGGAAGCAGTAGTAGGGCCGACAGGCCAGGAGCATATTTGCTCTGATACCATGTGAGAATGAACGAGAATGAATGCACTATTAAAGAGTTGGGTACAAGTACTAACCCTAATTGGGTTGCACCCCATATAGGCTACCCCACTACAGCCTACACAAAAGCATAAGCTATAATGTTCTGACATCGTGAACGTGGACAATCGACACAAGCAATGTTATTGTTGCAGTAGAGTTTGGCAGCTGCATTTAATTCTGACATTAATTACCCCGTCGAACATACCATATTTGTCTATGTAATAAATACAGAAAAAAACATCATATTCAACAAACTATAGCTTTCCAAATTATATGATTTTTACACTACCTGAAAAGATTGGTAGTTCACCTATGGCAGTGATTGGTTTTCAAACTCTCTTCGACAACACTTCGTTTTATGTCGACGATGGGACGGTCGGCGACAAAAATGCTGTCACAGGCTCTGTTCGATGGGATCCAATCGACGACGCCGACGTGCATTGCTAATGCACATTAGTGGTCGACGAAACCCTTCGATTGGCACTGCTCAGCATGCTGTGCTCTACAAGCTGGTCTTGGCGAATGCTGTTCGACCAAGCAGCGCCGAGCTGGTCGGTGAAAGTAACGCCTGACCCCTCGTCTTCGTAGTCGGTTGAGTTGGTCCCTGCAGCGTGCTAGAAAGGCTGGCCTTGGTGGTAGAAGAATGCATTCTCATTAAGTTCATATTCACTTGCTCTACGGCGCACGGGTAGCGAGCGAAACCGTTGACAGGTGTTCTACCTGGCACCTGCGCATGAATAAGATTAAAATTGATGATTACGTATTAATGAGAATTGTAGGGAATGCCCCCTTTTTTGTGCATCCTATTCCTTATAAAGTTTGCCCATTGCAGTTTATGTATTTTTTGTTTAGGTATACGCTTTTATTTCAGTGTCAGCTGTGCTCTGTATCGAACTGGTCTGTGGCGCGTGCTGCCGCGCTTTTCTCTGCACCACTTTCCGTCGGGTCGAGACGGAACCCGTCGACGGAGGCGGATTTACTCGACGGGCAGGGGGGTTGGTGCAGGCGGAATTTGGTGCAGACCGGGGGGAGCACGTGGGGTCAACTCCAGCTCGAGCGAGGACCACCTCGCGTCACTCCGAGCTGGCGTGGCTCGTTTCGGGCGGGCGGGTGGGCTGGCTCCCGCCCCTCGCGTGCCCCGCCACGGGACAGAGGGAAAACGAAAATCCCTCCGAGGAAAACCAGCAGGGGCGAAAGGGGGTCCTCGGAGGGATTCGGGCGAGGTCTTCCCATACAGAAGCACGTTTTCCAAAACTCGTTATAAACAGAAACCTCGCACACCTTACAGTCGAGCACACCTCGTCCTCACAAACAAGTCGAAAACATGTCGCACTCGCACTGTTGACTACCTTTGGGTTCGTGCGGCCCGCGCCCCTAATAATATCCGTTGTGACGAAACCTTTTTTGGCGAGTCGCGCGATAACCGTGGCAAACGGGCCTGCCCAGGGTGAGATGAGATTCCTCCGACGCCTACGAAAGGGGACAACATCATCTACATGCGAGTTTCGCCAGTGCGATTCGCGAATGTGTGCAACTGACGGCCGTCAGGGAATGTGGAGGAACCACTAACTGCCCGCGGTCAGAAAAAAAACCCCATCCGAATGACATGCGATTGGGGAGCCTCAACCCGAAATACGGGTAACCCGTGGTTTTTCCGCCGGGCCGACATGTTTCCTCCGATTCTGTCGTTTGCATACAGTCGCCAACCTGCACTGGCATAATCTAAATGCGAGTGGAATTGACCGCCTATGCAAGTGCGTGTTATTTGGTCGCACCGTGTCGCAGAGGTCCAATCATCAAGTGCGTCCGCTAGCGAAGCCGCGTGACTGGCCTTTCCAAACCCGACCACCCGCTCTGGCCCGCCATAGCCCCCCCCCCCCCCCCCCCCCCCCCACAGCCAGTGAATTTCAACAGGCAGACATGTCTCGAATTGCTTCCGTGCCACACCATCCCCAAACCACTACGTTATCGAGTCGTATTTTGTTGAACCATCAACCAAGCAAGATGTACCAGTCTGTTCGCAGTCCGAACCGAAGGACCCCGCCAGTAACTACGTCTGAACCAAACTTTCACGTCCGGAAGCACGTACTGCACCCTAGAGTGCAAAACCCACTCGTATCTTGACTCCAAAATGAAGAGGAACTCGAGCGGCAAATTCGCACATCTCGTAAACACATGCATGGTACAGTCAGATCTAGGCTTTTACTAATTCGAATGCTACGTGTTGTAGTTGCCTCAGCGCTGTCTCTTATTCTAAGATTGCTTCCGTGGCCGTCTCAGGCACTAACGTACAGCCATAAGTCCGCTCTACGCCAGCACTGATTCGTGTCACTCACTCGTACAAGGCGATAGTATACGAGCAGCGCACTGCTCAAAACTAGGTTCGAGGGCATATACTCATCGGAAGAGCCTGCGTCGTATTTCCCAAACAACGTTAAGATCGCTACCGCGCGCGTTTCTACACACTCCCGCGCTTCTGTCCGCCACGCCATGTCGTACAATCAGGCCGCGCAACAGCAAGCTGCGCCCGCATCCCTTCCCGCCCTCCCCGCTCCGCCGCTTCCCCCGCGCCCGCAATGGGGGGACCGAACTACCGCTGACGTGCTACTCCGCGTATGGGCTTCCCGCGATGCGCCTGCTCCTCTCGCCACTTTCCCCCTCCACCTCTCTCTCCTCGTCGATAAGAGCAAGTACCTCGCATGCCTCCTCCCGGACGCCGCCGCCGCTGCCGCCGGCGGCTCCGGCAGCGCCGTGGCAACGCCGCAGGATCCGCACGTGCTCGACGAAGAGCTAGGCGACGCAGGCGACGTCGCAGTGTACGCCGCCGTGCTTCGCATGTTCTACGTGCCGCTGCCCGAAGCGGTCGTCGTCGCTCTCGGCCCGCTTCTCGGAACCACGTCATCATCATCATCCCCGATAACGCCCTCCTCCCTACCGTCACAAGCCGATGCAGGAGCGACGGCATCGGCCGCCGGTCCATCAGGCCCTCTCATGGGCGTGCAGAAAGTTCTCGAAGCGCTCGTCCTCGCGGTGCGGCTCCAATTCGACGCGGCGGTTATCGCGTGCCTGCAATTCCTAGAATCCGTTCCCTGGTCTCCCGCCGAGTCGCGCGTCATCCACCAACACCTTCGAGAGCTGCAACTTGCCGGCTCCATCCCCTTCTCCGCCGTCACCGCCTCCGCCGCCGCCGGCGGCGCCGGCGCGGGTTCCGCCTCAGCGACCGCGCTCTCCTCGGAGCGTGTCTTTGCGCGCCTGCCCCAAGTAAACGATCCGCTCACGACCCTGCGGTCGCTTCTGGCGGTCGCTGTGATCCATACCGAAGCGAATCCTCTATCGCGTATGCAGGAGGAGGCGCGGAACGCCGTGTGCCTGCTGCTGAGCGCGGAGCGCCCTGGCGCGGGGGACGCGGGGGGGAAGGGTGAAGCGGGGAGCGAGTGGGAGCAGCAGCAGCAGCGGCTGCGCGCGGCGGCGGAGGAAAGCGGCGGGCAGGCGGGGGAGGACGGGGAGCTTCCGGTGATCGGGTTCGAGGCGAAGCGCGGCGCGCTCCTAGACGCGTTCGTAGGCCTTGTTAATACGCTGCTGAGGGAGGCGCAGAGCCGTGGCGCCGCGACGGGCGCCGGCGCGATCATCCGCACGTACTGGGACGTCGGCGGGAAGCCCGCGCCGGCGACGCTGGCGGCGACGACGTCGCCCGTTACGGATATTAATCTCCTGGCGCGATTGAGGGGTAAGGAGGGGACTATGGCGTGGTTAGTAGGCGTGATGCTAGAGTATGGACTAGCGGACGAGGTATTTCACTGGCTCTCCACTGATAAGCGGCTCCACGACGATATTAAGTCTACTATGGGACTGCAAACTACCTCGCGGCACCGCCACCTGCTAGTTAAGACCGCAGTGCACGGCGTACTTAAAGCCTTCGCGTCGCGCCGCCTCGTCGCGCCGACTGACTTAAGAGTGCTCTTTGCGTCGATCTGGCTGAGGCTGCTGTTACACTACTGCCTGCGTTACCCTCCTGCCGCCTCCTCGCGACCCGGCGGCGACGCTGCCGCCGCGTCCGGCGCCGGCGGAAGCGCCGCGATCTCCGCGCAGGCCGCCGCGACGGCGCAGCTTCTCTCGACGCTGAGCGTCGGAGCAGGCGGGAAACCCGTGGCCGGGGCTGGCTCGGTAGCGGGAGCGGCGGGCGCGGTGGGGTTGGCAGCGGGTATCGCGGCGCAAGACAGCTTCGTTTTCTGCCACTGCGAGTGCTCGCCGGTTCAGGCGGAGGAAATGGTACGCGGTATGAACGACCTCGTTAGCACGCTACCGAGCGCGCAGCAGGAGGCGCTGTACGGATTCTGGAACCAGGGACGCGCCGCGTCGGGCGCGTTCGTCCCCGCGAGCGCGGCGCAGCAGAGCGCGGCGTACGGGCCGCCTCCCAACGGGTGGATGAACCTATCGCGCGCGTACACACTGTTCCTAGCGCGATCCGGTCCAATCTGGCAGCCTACCGTTGCTGAGATGAGGCGTGGATTCTAGAGAGATGGGGGGTGGTGGGATTTAAGGGGGAGGAGATGGAGGAGAGAAAGGAAAGGGAAGGAATGGAAATGAAAGAAATCAGGAAAGGAGAGGAGGGAGAGGAAGGAGAGGGAAGAGAAGAAGGAGAAGGAGAGGAAGGAGAGGGAAGAGAAGAAGAAGGAGAGGAAGGAGAGGGAAGAGAAGAAGGAGAAGGAGAGGAAGGGGGGGAAGGAGAGGGAAGAGAGGAAGGAGGGGAAGGAGGGGAAGGAGATGAAGGAGGGGAAGGAGAGGAAGGAGAGGAAGAGGGGTTTTCCTGCCATATGTGGGTGGGTTCCATGATGCCAAGGGTCTACTTTTGAGGCGCTTAAAGATAACGGTGCCATCATACCATGGGGATGGGGTGGGCGTGAGCAGAAAGGGGAGGGGAGGGTGAAGCGGAAGGGGGAGGGAGAATGAGGAGGAGGAAGGGGCCGAGCATTACCCGTACGCGTGATCAGCAGATACGGTAGGGGGACAGTCTGACAGAGTGTACCTGATCTGAGCATTGCAGATACGGTAGGGGTGTTGCAAAGATTGGATGGTTGATACTGGAACTCTAGCTGAGTCAGTCCTTAGTCATTCTGCTGATTATCATGCCTGAAAGCGGCTTCTGGCAGGAGGGCATACTTATGGTAATACCGTATATCTAAACGCTAGTGAGTGGATTGGATAGTGTGGATGTATCACTACCGTACTTATGCTGAGTGCTGCATGCATCCTTGTTATGGGTTGTACTAAACTGAGTGCGCGGAAGACTTAATAAAAGGGATGAACATACAGCAAGCATTTCTAGGGTCGAGACCGTGCTAGGCGAGGACCTCGGGACGTGGATGGTTTGGAAGAGTCGCGTTTGGTGCGGGGCGACTCGGAAGTGGTTCGGGCCGAAGTGTAGGCCGCACCTCAAAACTGATGCGACGTGCTCGGAGTTGTCCTCGCTAGGAGCAGCCTCTACAGTAATGAATTCGTGTTCATTATTACCCTGTTATAGAGAAGCATGTGCACTCCTCATCCTGTCATTCGCTTATCCTTCAGTAATCCGGAATGTTTTAAGATGAGCCATATACAGTACTTATTAAGCAAATAGAGACGCTAGAGTTCAAGCTCAGCAACAAGAATCTTATCAAGCGTGTCTAGTAGACATAATCAGTGTACCGCATTATTGAAATTGACACTACAGTATGCCCAATGCAACAAATGGAGGTGGGCAAAGAGGGGAACTACACACCAGGAGGAGCGGGGGGAGAGGAGAAACAACGGAAAACAAACCAAACTGGCAGTCGACCAGCAAATGTAAGCCGATCCGTAGCCAGTTTGCAGCACACCTCTTTCAGGAGCTGGGTGGTAGGAGCCAAGGTGAAGGAGGCGAGTAGGAGCCAAGGAAGGGCGAGGAGGAGCCCAGCAGGAAGCAGGGAGAGGCAAGGAGAGGGAAGGAGAGGGAAGGAAAGGCAAGGAGAGGGAAGGAGAGGGAAGGAGAGGGAAGGAGAGGGAAGGAGAGGGAAGGAAAGGCAAGGAAGGTGCAGCTGCCCAGCTCTCCCTGTGCTCATCTCCCTTTGTGCCCCCACCTCTGTGCTGTGCTGTGCTGTACCTTATACACCCACCGGGTCCGTAAAGCCACACTCAATCGAAGGTTCCCTTCCCTTGTACGAGCCGTTTACGAGCCGGAATGGCAATCTAGGGAATGGAGAGCTGCGGCAGGTGGGCCGTGCGAGGCATGCAGGGAGGACTGAAGAAATTGACTGAAGGGATTATCTGTGCGGAAGCTGAAGGCGAGTAGGAGAGCGGATTAGGAGAGCTCAGAGGTTCCCTCTTAGGTGGCGTTTGAGAGCAGGAATGACAATCTCTGGGGTGGAGAGCTGCGGCAGGTGGCCGTGTGTGGGGAAGATCTCAACGACGCTCTTGCCGCCCAGGTGCAGGTGCATGTACTCTGATACCATGACAGGCACTGCTAGGTCCTTGCTGGACTGCAGGATGTGGCACGACACCCGCACCTGGGGGGAGGGGGGGGGGAGGGGGGGGGGGCGCCAGGGTGGGGAGGGATGGGGAGGGCGGAGAGGGTGGGAAGGGCGGGGAGGGATGGAAGAGGAAGGTAGATTTAGGGATGTAGGACAGCAAGGGAACTGGGAGGGATGGAGCATGGAGGCAAATTGCCCTGGCCAACAGTCAGGCTTCCTCACCTCACTAATGCTTGTGTAGGATGGCTCTTACACAAGGAGTAAAGTACTCATTGCGTCCTCACTTGCATTGCTTCTGCATGCATGCCCCACCTCATCATTCACTCCCACCATGCGGGGGCGGATGCAGAACAAGGTGCGTCTGAACTCCTGCACGGCGGGCGCGCGGGTGCATTAATGCGCGCCCGTGCGGCGCCTACTCCCGCCCACCAGATCACACACCTGCCCCGCCACCCACCCCATCCCTTCTTCCCCTCCTTCCCCCGTGCTCTTCCCTCCCCCGCAACCACCAGAGCCGCTTTCAGTGCTCAACTCCCTCCCTCCCATGCCAGTTCAATCCGCTCCCGTCCCCTCACCTGCGGAAGAATCGCGCGCATGTCGGACTGGAAGATCGTTTTCGCAACAAAGAGCGCGATGTCGGGGCGGATACAGAGCAAGGTGCGCCTGAACTCCCTTCCGCGCAAACACCAGAGCCGCTTTCAGTACTCCACCCACTGGCATGCCAGTCCTCTCTCCCCGTCCCTCCCCCTTCCGCTCACCTGCGGAAGAATCGCGCGCATGTCCGACTGGAAAATCGTTTTCGCAACAGACAGCGCGATGTCGGGGCGGATGCAGAAGAAGGTGCGGCTGAACTCCTGCACGGCGGGCGCGTCGATGTCCGACCCCACCGCGAGCGGCGCGAAGCCCGACACCCACGCGCGGAAGTTGCTCTGCATGGCGAGGAACAGCTGGTTCAGATCCTCCTGCTCGAACCCGCCGAAATAGTCGCCGTCGTTCAGATACCTGCGGGGGACGCGGGGGCGGGGAGAGGGGGGGAGGGCGGTGGGGAAGCGCGGAGGTAAGGGTAGGGAAAAGCGCAAAGGGAGGGGGGGCGAATGCGGGGGAGCGGAGGGCGTTAGACGGGGAATGGGGGAGCCGGGGGAGCGTGGGTGTGTGGATGAGACGACACCCCCCACCACGCGCGGAAGTTGCTCTGCATGGCGAGGAACAGCTGGTTCAGATCCTCCTGCTCGAACCCGCCGAAGTAGTCGCCGTCGTTCAGATACCTGCGGGGGGGGTTGAGGGAAGGGGGGAAGAGGCGGGGACGGGGGTGTGAGGGATGGGGGAAGCGCGGAGGCAAGGGGAGGGAAAAGTGAAAAGGGAGGGTGGGCGCATGCGGGGGAGGGGAGGGCGTCAGACGGGGAAGGGGGGAGTAGGGGGAGAGTATGGATGGGGGACTCCTCCCACGCGCGAAAGTTGCTGCATGTCCTTGGGTGGGGGGGAGGAGGGGGGGCGGGGGGGGGGGGGGGGGGGGGGGGGGGGAAGGAGAAAGGGGAAGGGGAAAAAGGGGAGGAGGGGGTGCTCGTACTCCTCAGCCCCGTCGGGACTAGGAACTACTTCTTGATACGAACACGAAGCATCGAATCGAACATGAGCGGTCTGGTCCAAAGATCGTTTATCCGCGGTATGGGCTCTCAAACGAGGTGGCTGTCGCGTCGACTCAAAAGCTATGATAAGCTCTCGACGGCTGCTCCATTTTCCCTGTCAGTAGAGGCGACCGGCGAGAATCACGGGCTAGGATCGAGCATCCGCAGCCGGATGACCGGGGAGGAGGGCACACTTATGGGTAAGTAGCGCACTTACTCTCAGTACCAACCATATGGGTAAGTAACGAGCTACTCTCGGTACAAACCATCTGGGTAAGTCACGCAATAGATTAGGAAAACATAGGATATGATAGGACGGGACAAGGTCCAATAGCCAGGAGCCACGAGCTGCGGACGCGCTCCGCCTTACCTAGGCGACGCGCCGAGGAGCACGAGCTTCTTGAACACGTCTGGCCGTTCGATGGCGGCGATGCAGCCGATCATGCCGGACACGCTGTGGCCCACGTAGCAGCACTCCTGCACGTCTAACTCATCAAGAATCGCTAAAAGATCGTCCGCATACGCATGGAGCGTGGAGTAACGCGCGAAGGAGAAGTTATCTGGGTTGGTTGAGCCTGCACCCATGAGGTCGAAGAGGAGGAGGCGGTAGTCGTCTAGTAGGTGCGGCACGATGTGCTGCCATACGGATTGGTCCGTGCCGAAGCCATGGCCGAGGACTACGAGTTGCGCGCCGGAGCCAATTAACCGCACGTTGTGCTGCTCGAGAATGGACGACATGCCGGCTTGGAGAGAACGGGGCGACGCGGGTGAAAGGAGAGCGGCCTGGAGAGGACGAGGCGAGAAACGGCGTGTCTTGCTATCTTGCTGGCTGACTTAAGAGAAAATAACAGAAAAAATGTAAAATTTCGAACGTTGGAAAAAAAAAAATCTGTACATCGGAGTTTGACGAGAGGAGTCTAAGAGCTGCGGGGTCCGAGTGACGAGAAACAGACAGTGGATGGACGGGTGATGCGATGGGAATGGAACGACGAAAGAATCGTAGTGGAATCTACGAGTAACAGAGTTGATGGAGCATCCTCCAGAGCTGCATAGGTTGAGTATCTAAAAATAGCTGCTCTTCATTGGCAGCAGTCACAGCTGTAATGGACTGCATGCGAGCTACTAGATCCTCCTCCAGTGAAGCTGCCCAAACCGAAAAATATATACCAATGCATTCAACTAGGAGGTGAGGAAGGAATAAGGGCGTGTGTGGTCTATTCTAAAGTTCGGAAAAAGGTAGAACTTTAGGTGGTTACCCGGGTCGCATATTTTCGTCAGAAATGTACGCGAAGAAGATGGATTTTACAGCGCACAAAAGTTCGAATGTGGAATGTGAACTTGACTCGAGTCGGCGTTGTGAGCATGCGTGCGCACGTTCATGCGAGCGTGTGTGATTTACAGCACGTACGAGGAGCGGGCGAAACGGGCGAGGGATTGGCGAAGTTAAAAATAGCACAACGAAAACATCCCACAATTATGGCTCTCTTTGGTAGCCACGTGGCAACATCCAAGGCACCTAGGAGAACCAGGTAACCTACGATTTTGTCACGTGGCTCGGCGCGTTTTTTACAAGGTCGAATTTCGGGGTTCGACCTTGTATGTGTGACTGCAGTTTTACAGTGTTGCAGTCCCTATGTTCGAGCTCCGCTCCAAATTACACTCGACATAAGTTCAAGAACCATATTCACCCTAAAAACATAAGCTTTCACAAATTTCAAAGACCACACACGCCCTAAGGCACTTCACTAAATACCCAGATTTTCCAGCAAACACTGACGTAGGTCACAAACGGGAATGGAAGGGTAGGAAAATGTGTGGATTCTAGGAAAAGGAAAAACACATTGTGAAACTCATTTTTTTATATGAAGCTTGTCGAAACAAGGCTGACAGCTAACCAGAATCCGAACGACATTCCTATCACTGCAGTGAAGCAAGAAGAATCAATAATTCGATTTGCCGCGTTATGGCGCGGGGAGGCACGATTTGGTTCATCAGCCCCACGGGGTAGGTTCTCGGGGTGGAGTGGCTTAGTGAGCGGTGGAGAGGAGTTACCCGGCAAGTACAGTATGGGGGGAATGCGTGGTGGGAAATCGAAGCGGGAAGTAGCACTCCATCCATTCCACCCCACCCCACCAACCCAGGCTTGACTGCCTCGGCTCGGCAGCATGCAGCATGTGCTGTGATGCCCGCGCTGATCACCACCCAAAGAGCAGGTGAACAGAGATTGTGGGAGGGCAGGTAGGGAAAACTCGCTGTGAGGACGCGGTAAAAGTGCTCGAAAAACCGTCTACAACCGCGCTAAAAAACGATCCTGAGGCGATCGATTCTCCACTTTCACCGCGTCCTAACAGTTCAGTGCAAAACATGAGTCACCGCCATTGAAGAATGAACGGCTTGTGTACAGTACAACAGTGCTCTCATCAAACTTGGGCAATGCAGTGGACGCCCGTCCAGACTCCGAGCTGTCTCATACCCTCCACCAGCCAACGCCAGCCACCTCCCGACGTGGCCCACTCACCCACCAAACCTGCAAGGTCAACCCAGGACTAGAGCCGCCCATGGTCAGAGGAGGAGTCAGGACCTCGATTCATCTTGGCCCTTGGCTTCGTTTTTGGCAACCCTTTATCAGGACATCTATCAGAATATAAACATGCATTCAGAGTTTAGGTTAAATGAGGAGGGATGATAAGAGGGAAGTGGACAGAGGAAACAGGAGTAATGGTGCATATGAAATAGAAAGTGAAATGTGTGGAATCGGGACCTAAATTATTTGATAAGGCTTTGCAAGGGAATATTGATATGGAATTCTTCGGATCTCTAAGCACAAAATTGGCTTGTAGGGATCACTTACATAGTAAAGTTGCGTGTATCGATAGTTTGTAAGTGTTTGTAAGGAATTTTCTCGATATTCCTTAGCGCAACCTGCAACATCGCGTACAGCAGCAGCCGTTGTTCGCCCCTTACTGCTGACAAAATTAGAAGAAAGAAAGAGAGGTTGACTAGCAAGAATGGGGATACAAATAGCAAACCCT